AAGAGAGGTCACTGGCCCGTCAGTTAATTTAACTAGCGATCAGCATCCCAAAGGAGCTGACAAAACGAGAGACGTAGGTGGGTGCGGGTGCATCCTGAATGTATCAAATACGTACACATAACCACCTCACAGAGTATATCTTGCGTCTAGATCTTTTATTCAAAATTAATTAACATCCGATTCCAAAACTGGGAAAAACTTCCGCTAGACATCTCGAGTCTGAAAGACCATTAAGCTTTCAATGATGTAATCATATCCAATTTCAAACCTGATCAATCAACATCAGCCTCAATCAATCAACATCGAAACTAGAGTCGACTCAAGGTACGCTGGCCAAGATTAATCTCTAGTCACAAATACTGGTAACAGTCTGGTGAGCCGTAGGCAGAAAGGGAGGAAAGGACAAGAAACAGGGGGCTGTCACAGACTGTTTCGTCGGGGAAAGAGACCGAAATAGCCCGGTCACCATAATGTTAAGCCACTGCTAGTTCATATGTAGAGGTGCGGGTGCATGATGATCTGCGCCTGAACACGCCCGTAATTCGCGTAAAAGTTCAGATCGGGCTATTTTCGTCGCTCGCCCACTCATCATCTGAAAGCACACTCACACTCAGACGTTTTTCACCTATTTCTGGGCGGAGATGCGTACAGATCGGATCGGTAAAAAAAATGCGGTCAGATAGGTTTAAGATAGTGCTACCGGTACTATGAGTACGCCCTGAGAGGGATGGCTTACTCTTTTCACCCACGGGTTTGCGGTCACAAGCCGGAGAGCACCCCGGCTAAGTCCCACTAGGGGGGGGTAGCGGGGGTTAAGTCTCCCTTCCGACGTGAGATCTTCGGATCGGATGGCAGGAACCGGTCGGTTCATATTCGAGACCTACCTTCTTCCCCCGGATACAACATATACGGTCATTATAGCTGAATTTGAGGCATCTTTCAGTCTAGATACCGCTATAATGACCGTATACGTTGTTTTCGGGGGAAGAAGGTACCTACTCTAAACCCCCGCTACGGTTAGTGGGACTTATCCCCCAGTTGAAACACGTGAACGCTCTTCGAGCATGAAAACACGCTTGCATGATCCGACGTGTACTATATTTGAAATTGCGTGTGCAGAGCAAGTGGGACTTAGCCCCCAATTGGTCCTTGCGTGTCAATCTGAGGACAGAGGTGATGTTTATCGGTCGAAGCAAGTGCGAGCAGCAGTCTATGGCCCCCACTGATTTCACTGTTCTTCTTGCTGTTTTCACAGTTCTTCGTATCTTCAGCCACAACAAAAAAAAAAAAAAAAAAAAAAAAGTTTTTAGGTAACCAGGTTCCGAAATCCTGACTCCCAGCTCGTTATGTGGGATTAGGTGGCAGGATAA